AAAGAATTTTCCAATGTGTTTGCATATACTGAACTATCAGCATTCATATTTAAGCATTCCATTTGTTCCATATGCTTGCGATTTACCTTTAAATTATGAGAGGTGTATTTACTTTAAGAGTTTTTTACATTAAGTGCATCATTCTTCAGTATTTCTATTCTCCTGACAAGGGCCTTAACACACTGTAACATTTTACTGAGCTGCACATCCACCACATCTTGTCATTATACATTAGATTTTAATTTCATATCCTTCTCCTTTTGTGTCATAAAACATTCTTATGTAAAAAAAAATGTGACAAAGTCTATCCTTTGAAAAATTGCACATCTTCCCTGCCCCAATTACTCTTTTTCCATCCCCAAAGACCAGGGAATTCAAATGTATTCTTTTTTTTATATACAACTAATAGCATGTTAATCATACTCCTTCTTCACCTAGCTCTTTTCACTTAACTGTGTTTTGGCAGTATTTTGGCAGTCCTTTCGTATCTGTACATAAAGAACTTTCTCAGTTTTATTTATTTATTTATTTATTTATTTATTTATTTATTTATTTATTTATTTATTATTTTCTCAGTTTTAAGACTGCATCATAATCCAATACACTGATGACTATAATCTGTCTAAGCAGCCCTGTACTGGCCACCATTCATGTTGTTCCCAGTCTTTTCTGTCACAAAGCAGCGCTTCAGTAAGCAACCTTGAACATGGAGCATTTTATATATGACTGAATAGAGACTTTTTACCATAATCATTTCAACTTCTTGTCATATTTTGTTGGTTCTTAGGGTTCTGTTATTTCTTCTATTTTACACCTTCTCTCTGAGTTCACTTTTGTTTGCTAAACTGCATCCTTGACTTTTAGGAGGGGGTCTCTGGGTAGCATATGACTTTATTTTGCTCCCACTGTTTACTTCTCTTTGGCTGGGGGCAGATTCTGTGTTGACAGTACTTTTTCCCACCCCAATTGCATTCAGGACTCCATCCAGTTCTCCTGAGTGGTTTGCTGTGCCCTTAGGGGGTATCTGGCTCTGTTTCTCAGGCAGCTTTTAAGGCTGTCTCTTGTTCTCAGTAGGCTGTGGCTTCACTGTATTCTGTCTCCATGTGTACTCCTGATCCGAGAAGTCATGCCTTCATTTCTGGAAAATTTTGTTTTATTCTCAGTGATTTATTTCTCAGCCATTCACCACATTCTTCTCTCTTGAGCCTCCTATATTAAAGTCATATTCTCTCAACATAGGCCCTTTCATATTAATTGCTCTGTAATTTTCATCTCTTGCTGCATTCAGAGTGAAGTCTAGTGTTGTCAAATACTAAACAGTTAAAAAATCACTGTTTTTTCTTCAAATGTATTCTTTCTGTTATCTTCTAATGTATTTTCAGTGTTAAAGGTTTTTTGTTTTTGTTTTAAAAGTTTCTAATTCTTTTTTATATCTACCTGATAACTACATTTTACCTGTTTTGGTTTCACTGTATTTCTCAAAATCACTTTTTTTAAAAAATTTATTTATGATAGTCACACAGAGAGAGAGAGAGGCAGAGACACAGGCAGAGGGAGAAGCAGGCTCCATGCACTGGGAGCCCGACGTGGGATTCGATCCCGGGTCTCCAGGATCGTGCCCTGGGCCAAAGGCAGGCGCCAAACTGCTGCGCCACCCAGGAATCCCCTCAAAATCTCTTTAAAAATTTCTTGGACTATAGAATAAATTTCATTCCAAGAGAATTACTATTTTATTTTTTTTTTAATTTTTTTTATTTATTTATGATAGTCACAGAGGGGGGTGGGGCAGAGACACAGGCAGAGGGAGAAGCAGGCTCCATGCACCGGGAGACTGACATGGGATTCGATCCCGGGTCTCCAGGATCGCGCCCTGGGCCAAAGGCAGGCGCCAAACCACTGCGCCACCCAGGGATCCCGAGAATTACTATTTTAACTGTTGATTGTTTTTCTTAGGGTTAGAGTTTTACATGTTTTGGAATTTCTTTTGAGTGGAGAACTGATGTAGATTTCTCTCACTTAGATGTAGTGCTATCTGCTGAGCATGGTAGGTTACATCTAAGACCCTTCTTGGGTCTTACATCTAGTGCTTTCGTGTTGCTGTCCCCAGCAATTATTAGGGTGTGCAGACCTAGTATGGGGCCATCAGCTTCTGGGCTTCATTACTGCAAATGAGGCTGGTCCTGTCCGTTGGCCCCTGGGCCTGTAACTTCTGATAAAGCTGTAGGCTGAGTCAGCATCAGAAAGTTAGCCTGAATGCCTATAGTCTGACACACACCACTCTGAGTCTTTAATCCCTGGGAGTTGAATTCTAGGCTGTCCCTGGCTGATTTTTATCTTGTGTTTGTGGCTGGCCATTTCTTTTTCTTTCTTTTTATATATCATCTTTTAATATTTGGAGCCAGTTGGTAATTAAGCATAACTGGCTATGCTGTGTTACTCTGGAAATCTGAATCCAGTCTTTGATTTGTTCCTTTTGAGCTGCCATTGGGATGTTCAGGGTTATAAGCTTCGCGGGATCTAGAGGTGGGCTTCAGCACACATTTGGAAGGTCACCACTGGTCATAGTTTGTCCTGACCTTTATTGAATATTTCTTCCAGGTTTTTCAACTATCTACTAAATATTGGCCTATGAATTCAGTGTTTTATTTTATTCGAACTAAAAAAGAGGATATTCAATTCATTAATACTGCTTTGCTAATAATACCAGGTAATTTTTATTTAGCAGTTGCTATGGGCCAGGTAAGCTTTGTGCTAAGCTTTTTGTATGCATTACCTTATATAATTATCAGAATAGTCTTAAAAGTGGAGTGCTTTGGTCACTCCCACTTTTGAGAGGCCACATGATTTGAATGTTACTCACTTCGCAGCACTGTTTCTCTAAAGACGATTTTAAAGAACTCATTCCATTTGGTTCATCAGATGTGTATTAGGTACTTGCTTCCTCCTCGGAAATGAGACAATGCCAAATTGTGCATAATTGAATCCGGGCATGTAAGTGAATAAATCAGGTAAATAAAACATTGACAAGTCATCCATAATTTTGTGGCAAATCTAGACTTGTAAATCTTTTAGGCATTTTGTCATAAGAGGTGTTTGGGATCTGTAGCAGGTTGGGATGTAGTTGGGAGTGTAGACAGATGGGAGGGCTGTTTGGGAACTCTGGATAATGCATACAGATCCTGGGTGTGGCAGAGACTTGGGGAGAATAGAAAGAGGCTGTTTCTGTTTCCCCGTCCTTCTTCCTTTCCATTTCCTTGCTATAGCTTGATGAAATGAAAAGGGAGAATTGATTTACTCATCCAGAAAACATCCATAGAGCACTTGCAGTGGGCTAGCACTGTATTAGGCATACAGGTAAAGACAGGGTTCACGGTGGCACAAGACCAGGAGGTAAATCCTAAGCCCAGGCATTGTGGGGAGAGCAACACAGAAAATTGAGAGGCTGCCCCACCCAAGGCCTTGGGTATGTGAGGAATCTGCTTGTTCTGCTCCATGGTTTCTCAGTAGCATTCAGGTGCAACCCCATAATCACAGACCAGTTTTTGCCTGTAAATCTAATCCCATGGGAAACCACATTTTTAATAATAATGAAACCCAATGCCAAGTCACAGTTAGGGATTCTCAGACTTAGAGTCTTCCTGGACTGAAGACTCAAAAATCCTGACACCTAGATCCTGCAGTAAGGAGTAAAAACAGTGCAGTTGTTGGCCATGGACATTGGCAAAGGGTAAGCTCCACAATCTTTGTTAACTTCCCATATTCTCATCACAATTTTATGTAAATATTGCACTAATGTCTGTCCCACTGTAAATGCCGTGAAGACAAGGACCATGTGTTTTTCCTCTCACTGCTATGGCCTCGGCACCCCACACCACGCATCTGGTAGGCACATGGCATTTGCATGAATGGAATATAAATACATATTCCCACAATAAAGCATATCTGAAAAACTTCTAAATTGTCTCAGACATTAAGAATTCTGTTAACACAAGACTGAAGTAATCTATAAAACTCAAATTCTACCATGAAAGTAAACTGCCTTTGTAACCACCATTCCACCTCCCAACTTAAGTGCTACAGCCCTACAAATACTCTTACCATCTCCTTCCTGAATCATACTCTGTTTTTCTTTAAAATACAGATCTGACAACGAAATAAAGCTTTAATGCCCCTTGGTTTTCCATATACTAAACTCTAAACATCTTAGTCTAGAGTTCAAGGCTGCTTTCTACTGCAGTGTGTCTTTCCATCCTGACCTCTTCGCACACCTTCTACCCATTCTCTGTGGCCTGGCAGTCAGCCTCCAAGACCCCTGCACAGTGTGCCTGTAAATAGCTGAGGTCCTGTTGTTTGCTTGGCCTGTCATGTTGAACCCCCTCCCAGTGCCCTGTCCGTGCCTAACAAGTTCCTATTTGTTCTTTCAGACCTAATTCAAACCCACTTGCTCGTAAGCCACATTCTTTCAGTGCTCCATACCCAGTCAGAATTATTTTTTTTCTACTCTTTGCTTTCTAGTTATCTAGTTGAATCCTCTGTGATAGCACTCATCATTTGATTTTTTTTAAATTTTTATTTATTTATGATAGTCACAGAGAGAGAGAGAGAGAGAGAGAGAGAGAGGCAGAGACACAGGCAGAGGGAGAAGCAGGCTCCACGCACCGGGAGCCCGATGTGGGATTCGATCCCGGGTCTCCAGGATCGTGCCCTGGGCCAAAGGCAGGCGCCAAACCGCTGCGCCACCCAGGGATCCCTCATCATTTGATTTTATCACTAGTTTTACGTGTTCGGTTCTTTACCTGATGCTACTGTAATTTGTCTACCAGGCTTTCCAATTACTACTATTCGTTTGTTTTCTTGCAGTAAGAATTTCAAATAATACAAAAGTCAGAAGAAGGGATCCCTGGGTGGCGCAGCGGTTTGGCGCCTGCCTTTGGCCCAGGGCGCGATCCTGGAGACCCGGGATCAAGTCCCACGTCGGGCTCCTGGTGCATGGAGCCTGCTTCTCCCTCTGCCTGTGTCTCTGCCTCTCTGTGTGTGTGTGTGTGTGACTATCATAAATAAATAAAAATTAAAAAAAAAAAAGTCAGAAGAAGTACAGAGAGTATTCTGTGAAAAGTAAATTTCCCTTCTCTTGTTTGCACTTAACCTAGTTCCCTCCCTAGTAGCCAGCCCTGGGCATCAGGTTTTCTTTGCTATAATAATGTGGTGTACAAACAGATATGAAATTCTGGTGGCCTGTGGCAGTAAACATTTAATTAGTACATGAATCTGTGGGTTCACCTGATCCAGGCAGGGCTGGCTTGTGTACCTGCAGTGAGCTGTGGGTCCGCCAAGTAGTTCTGCAGACCTCATCCTGGCTTACGCACATGTCTGGGGGTTGGCTGGCTGTCAGCTGAACCAGGTGGGTCCATCTGTCCTGTTGGGATGGCGGGTCCGGTCCCACAGGCCTCTTTCATCTGGAAGCCAGCAGATCCTCCTTGCAGTTGTGGGGGGAAAGGGCAAGCCAGCTAGCTGAGTCACACAAGTACTTCCCAAGCCTTTGTCTGGGTGACATTTGCTGGTGTACCACTGGGCAAGTCTAGTCATATGTTTGAGGACAGAATCACAGTGGGAGGCCACTGCAATACGTGGCTATGGGGAAGAGTGAAGACTCGAGACAAGTGATGTATTCTGCCATATGCTTTTTTCCAGGTTCTAGACTATATTAGTAAAACCCTATATACGTTTTTATGAACATAAATGATAGCATGATATTCATTGTTCCTATACTTCACTTTTTCCCCCACTACTTTTTAATTTCCATGAATATATAATGTTTCATCATCAGGTGTATCCTCTTAAAAAGAATATCTCAGGAAATCTTAAATGAGGCTCCCCTTCATCCCAGGCTGGAGTGAACCTTCCAAATTAACCCCAGAATGGCTTCAACAGAGGGACAGGATGGACTTACTATTGTGAAGGTGGAGGAAGACCCTATCTGGGACCAGGAAACCTACCTTCGAGAGAACAGCTTTTCTAGCCAGGAGGTCTCCTGCCAACTTTTTAGGCACTTCTGTTACCAGGAGACCCCTGGGCCCCGAGAGGCCCTCACCCAGCTCCGGGAGCTGTGCCGACGCTGGCTGCGCCCGGAAACCCACAGCAAGGAGCAGATCCTGGAGCTGCTGGTGCTGGAGCAGTTCCTGATCATCCTGCCTGAGGAGCTCCAGGCCTGGGTGCGGGAGCAGCACCCCGAGAGTGGGGAGCAGGCCGTGGCTGTGGTTGAAGATCTGGAGAGGGAGCTTAGTGAGCCTGAGAACCAGGTGAGAGGAGGAATGTGGACTCTCGGACGCTGAGTTCTATGAAGGGTGAAGTTTGCTGACTCAGGCTGGCTGCAGCCAATTCTCAGCTGCTGTTGAACAAACTGCCCCAAGCCTTAGTGGCTTAAAAAACCCAAATATTATCTCATGGTTTCTGTAAGTCAGGATTTAGGACATTACTTAGGAGGATCTCTCCTGAGGTTGCAGTGGAAAAAAAAAAAATTATTATTATTTTTTTTTAACATGGATTCCCTTTTTACCAGTCTTACAAGGCTGGGGTGATCTCATCCACTCTCCCAAGGTAGAGAGGGAAACTGAGGATACACAGTGAGTCAGGACAACTCTTGTTAATCCCCATTACCCAGAACCCAGACACAATGAGGCAAGGAGTAGCTCTGGGGTGCAAAGCTTCTTTGTGATTGCCTGTCTCAGCCCTGTGCAGTGAGGAGCCTGCCCCAGGAGAGTATCTGAATGCTTGACTGGGGCTGGTGGATTCCCCTCCAGGATGGCTCCCTCCCATGGTTGCTAGGAGGGGCACCAGTTCCTCAGAACTTTGGCAGGAGGCTTAGTTCTTTGCTATGTGGATTTCTGCCTAGGCCTCATTGAGTATCCTCTGGCATCAGCCAGCTTCTAGAGAGACAGAGAAGGAGAATGAGGGTGCTTTCTATGACTTGGTCTCTGAAATTTGTAGCATCACTTCTGCCACGTATTTTATTCTGTGGAAATGAGTCACTAAGTACAGTGCACTCTCAAGGATGGGGAATTAGGCTCCACCTTTTAAAGGAAGGAGTATCCAAGAACTTAGGAAAAACACTGTAAACCAGCACAAACACACCAGGCCCCCTTGATCTCCCCATCTGCTTGTGCATGTGAAATCAACCTCTGGGCCTCTCCCTGTGCCATTCCTCGACAGAATGTTCCATATGCTTCCATTTGATGTCTTTCAGTGAGTATTAGCCTGGGTTCCTGTGTCCCTTCTCATGATCCCAAATATACTTACCTGCCTCCAGGCCCCAGATGATGAACATGGCCGTTCTGGAGCGCTCTCAGAGGATGTGGTGTGTTTGAAGGCCAAGCAGGAATCGATAGCCATCCAGCTTCAGTCTGTGGTGACTCAGTTCAAAGGTGAATCTTTAGATCCCCACAGATTTGGAGAACAAGGTAAGGATTTTGAGGGGTCCACTCGGTGTTTCTGGTGGCTCTGCAGAGAATAATAGTTAGGGCTGTGGATTCTGGGGTCAGTTTGCCTGGGTTAGAACTTTCTACTTCTCTGTAGCTCTGACAATAGGCCGGTCAGGTAAACTTCCCTGTCCTTCAGTTTATGTGACTGTAGGATGGATGTAATCACAGTCCCTTAATCTTAGAATTGTGTGGACATTTAGTAAGTTAATACAGGTAAAACAGGTAGATCAGTGCCTGCTTGCACACCTTTCTGGCCCCTCACCCTCCAGCCGTGTTAGCAGGGCTGCTCACCCTGCTCTGGTCTCAGTATCCTCATTGATCCCTGTTGTACTTCCCACCGCCCGTTTTGCATTCTGAGAACATGTGTGTTTTGATAGGGACTTCCTGTGCCCATCTTGGTGCTCTTTTATAAAGGGAGAAGGATGACATTATCTGGTGCATTTATTATCCCAGGTGGTGAAACTGTACCGGAAAGCCAGGAGTCAGGATTGAAGGAAGAAGTCTTGAAAGAAATGGAACATTTTGGAAATGGCAGACTCCAAAGAGATGCTCCTCTAGATTCTAAGTACGGAGAAATTTGTAAGCAGGAGAGCAGAGTAGAAGAGTGGAGGGGACAGGCCACTGGAGAGAGACGACACAGGTGCAGTGAGTGTGGGAAAGGCTTTACTCAGAGTTCGGTCCTCATTCAGCACCAGAGAACCCACACGGGGGAGAAGCCATATGAGTGTGAGGAGTGTGGGAAAGCCTTCAGCCAGAGATCAGGCCTGATGGAACACCAGCGGAGCCACACCGGAGAGAAGCCCTATCAGTGTAAGGAGTGCGGGAAGGCCTTCAGTGCCAGCAATGGTCTCATTAGACACAGGAGAATCCACACGGGGGAGAAGCCCTATGAGTGTGAGGCATGTGGGAAAGCCTTCCGCCTGAGCTCATACCTCGTTCAGCATCAGAGGATACACACTGGGGAGAAACGCTACCGGTGTCACGAGTGTGGGAAGGCCTTCAGTCAGAACGCAGGGCTTTTCCAGCACCTGCGCATCCACACAGGGGAGAAGCCCTATCCGTGTAGCCAGTGCGGGAAGCGCTTTAGCAGGCGAACACTCCTCATCAAGCACCTGAGAAGCCACACTGGGGAGAGGCCGTACGAGTGTGAGGAGTGTGGGAAGGCCTTCAGTCACCACTGCAACCTTATGAGGCATTTTAGAATCCATACTGTTGCCAAATTAGACTCATTCCACGAACTCCCAGACCCTTAAATCGGGCCATCTTGGATAGTAAGATTTTCAAGTGGCTTATTTTGTTTTTACCAAGTGTATTCTGCTCTGGAATGCATAGCTTTGTCTGCAGACTGGGTGCTGGTGTCTTCTGGGTGAATGGCTGTGGGCACAGGTTACCGGGCAGCGTCTTCCTTCTCTGTCCCTTGGTTCAATTCTGATCATTTCCCTAAAAAGAGACCAAAAGTTACCTGGAAATAAGTTGATATGGAGGGCTGTTCTTGAGTAACACTGAATACCAAGCAACTCAAAAAGACTAGCATCTGTGTATACTTTTTTTTTTTTTTAAGTTTTTATTCATGAGAGATGGGGCGGGGGGGGGGGGTGGGCAGAGACATAGGCAGAGGGAGAAGCAGGCACCGTGCAGGGAGTCTGATGTTGGACTCAATCCCGGGACTCAGTATCACACCCTGAGCCGAAGGCAGACGCTTAGCAGCTGAGCCACCCAGGCATCCCTTTGTGTATACTTTTTAAAGATGGGCAGACTAAAAAGATACTTAGATGTGAAGGTTCCCCCCACCCCCGTAAAAGTACATTTTAAACACACTGAAGGTTTTGGGAATAAGAATCCTTGCCATTCGCATAGGCAGTCGTCACCATAGTCTGAGGAAAGAGGTAGATGATCTCCTTGGTGCTTTCATCAGAACGAGCAGCGTGCTCACCAACTATGCTGCATGACACTTGAAGTCACGGCATTTAGGGGCCACATACCTTTGATACCTACATGCAGGTCGATACCATATTTAAAGTCTCCATTTTGTTATCAGTAATAAAGGGTGCTTGAAAGTGTACACACTATACTCTTCCTGTCAGCATCACTGCCCTGCCCCTGCCCTTTGGAGGTTAGTCGGGTGCCTTAGCAGACAGCATCACCGAAGCTTTGTAAAGAGGACCCACAGCGCTCAGGCCGCCTGCTCTTAGCTGGGGAGACCAGCATGCCCAGGCCACTTACTGTCAGAGTAACACACCAGCTCTGGCACCAGATGTCTGGGCTCCAATCCTGCCCATCTGGTTGGGAGCCTTGTGACCTTGGGTAACTTAGTTGAATGACCTGATGCTATGGTCTCCCCATCTGTAATAAGGGGTGATTAATGTGCCCTTCCAACAGGGCACACAGGATTAAATTAATGCAAACTTTAAAACACTTAAGACAGCTCTCAGAAAATGTGCATTAGGATTTATAAAAGAAATAATACTGTCTAATGAGTGCAGGTTGGAGTTGTAAGTATGTTGGAACTAAGGATATTAAATGCTTCTGCTGGTATTCTCATTATACTTTTCCCAAAGGTCAAAATCAGAAGCTGAACTTCCAAAGAGAGGAAATAAAAGTTCAGCTTAAAAGTATGCTATACTAAATCTTTGTCTTTGAAGTTTATAAAAAGCTAGGGATGTGTGTATATATATTTGGTTTTCCTTAGAGCTTGGGGACCATAGCAAAAGAAAAACTCTTTAAAATTCCTGGACTGGGGATCCCTGGGTGGCGCAGCGGTTTGGCGCCTGCCTTTGGCCCAGGGCGCGATTCTGGAGACCCCGGATCGAATCCCACGTCGGGCTCCCGGTGCATGGAGCCTGCTTCTCCCTCTGCCTCTGTCTCTGCCTCTCTTTCTCTCTCTCTGTGTGTGTGACTATCATAAAATAAATAAAAATTAAAAAAAAATAAATAAAATTCCTGGACTGTACTGTTTTATCTGTGAATAGAACAATTAGTTAAAATCTGATTATCTGGAACAATGCTTACCAATTTTTAGAGTATCTACAAATCACCTGGGATCTTCTTAAAATACAGACTAAAAAATTCAGACTGGAGGCTAGAATCAACATTTTCAGCAAGCTTCCCGCGCTGCTGCTGCTGCTGCTGCTGCTACTGCTGCTGCTGGTTCCCAGAGCACACTCAGTGCCGCCACCAGCCCTGAATACTGGTGTGGTCCTTCAGATACGCGAAGGGCGCCAAGCAGATCTGCTCTCCTTCCCATGCCTCTTTCCCCTGTAGCCTCCATGGACAGCAGTGTGTAACCCCTGAACTGGGCTCCCCGCAGGCAAATGCAGCCTGATCTTCACCCGGCGGTGTTTGCCTAGAGGAGGCCGCTCCTCATCTTTCCTCCATACACACCCTAAGAGAGAGGGCAGAGCAGCTGTCCAGTGCTTGTGAGCATGATGTAGACCTGCCGGTCCTCACCCTTGGCCCTCTCATGGGCTTTCTGGGCATTCAGGACACAAGAGCCAGGTCTCCACTGAGATGTCCTTACCTGTGGTGCTACCACATGCCACCCTGAACTTGTTTGGTCCCTCTGGGTCTCCTTCCCCAGTTCTCAGCCCCTTCCCTTCTCAGCTACTCACAACAGCAAAGGAAAGCTTACAGGGGAGAGCAGCCACAAGAGGCCAGGGGGTAAAGGAGAAAAGGAGAGGCCTCCCAATGGGTGTGTGGGGAGAGAGAGGAGAAAGGCCTGAAAGGGCAAGCCTGCTGCAAGGGAAAAATTGAAGGGGGAATTTGGGAATGTTTCGTTTATTTCAGATCCTGTTTCAATGACCTGGTCAAAATGGTGCCCAGTGGACTAGGGAGACACTGGGCCCTGGGGTCGCAACCCAGCCATCCCAAGGATGTCACCAAAGAATTCAACAAAGAATTCAAGCACAGATGCAGAACAGTGGATGAGTGACACAAGGAGGTTTTTTTGTTTTGTTTTTAAGATTTTATTTATTTGTGCATGTGGGGAGAGGGAGAAGCGGGCTCCCAAGCAGGGAGCCCACATGACAGGGCTTGATCACAAGACCCTGAGATTAGGACCCTAGCTGAGGGCACACGCTTAACTACCCAGGCACCCAAACAGGAAAGTTTATTAAAGCCAAAATATACTTGAGATGTGAGAGCAGGGCAGTTCAAGAGAGAGTGCTGCATTCCTGGGGTTTGGCTTTCTACCTTTTATTAATAGCTCTTAACAAGGACGGGATATTCATTGTTTGAGATGGGAGTTTCTTAGTAGCAAAATTTTGTGCTTTTTCCTCATTTTACCAGGGGTTCCTGTTATGGCACTGCCATCTGGGGCTGTCTGGTGTGTGTCCGGCTCCTTGTGGAGTGTTGCCAGGAAGGCCTGGACCTTCCCCATGGCTGGCCACAGCCTCCTTGCTGGCTTCTGGGCATCCCGTTCGAGCTCCTCACTAACTGCCTACTCTGACAGGTTCACTAATATTTGTGTAGAAAACATTAAAGACTCAATTTCCAAATAATCCCCCCTTTTTAAAAAACTAATCGTAAGATAACACAATTTCTGAATGTATTAGTTATTTTCCAGTTAAAAATGGCCTTTTTGGTCCAAAGATACCAAAAACTACGGCAGCAAACAGATCAGATGAAGTGGGATCCTTGGGTGGCTCAGCAGTTTAGTGCCTGCCTTCCGTGGATCGAGTCCCACATCGGGCTCCCAGCATGGAGCCTGCTTCTCCCTCTGCCTGTGTCTCTGCCTCTCTCTCTCTCTCTCTCTCTCTGATAAATAAATAAAATCTTAAAAAAAAATCAGATGAAGTCCAGAGTGTCTGTGAGTGTTGGTTCCACCCAAAAGTTGGGGGCTTTACTGACAACCAAATAAATGGCTTCTGGGTTTGTGATGGCTTAGTTTTACAACTGGCTTTCGCTAATGGTACACACAAGAAACATTCAGACACGTCAAAAGAGCTCCAGTTGGGCCATCTGGCTCAGGTTGTCCTTATATTTTCTCATTAGTAACTACTTGCAAGTAGAAGCTAATGTGTATTGTTCATATACATATATTCCTGTTGGAGTTCTCTGGTTGGTGGTGGGTTTTCCGGGGGTTTTGAAACATGGTTCCCTGGTCCTTTTAGTTTCAGTTGTATTTGTAGATGAAGGCTGGGAAAAGATCCAAGGATATTAAACGTGGATGGAGAGGGTGGTGCATGTGTCACTTCTCTTCTGTGTCTTTGGTTTCTCCTAGCAAAGTCTAAGACCACTGATGGTGCTCAGAGCACTGGATGACCAGTCCTTAGGTGTGCATCCCTGGACAAGCCAATCATTAGTCACTTTAGGAGACAGGAAATTCCTATGGGAGAGCTCCACATCTTAAGAACTATCCTCATACACGTCTGGTGGGAGCAAGTGCCCCTTCTCTTTGGAGCTGAATGATTCGGTCTCATTTTTCTAGCCAGAAAACTTGATTCAAGCCTTCTATTATGTCAATTAATTTAATGCCAAATCAAGCAATCCATAAGCTCCCCTCTGGGTTATTCCCACCTAGAGAACATTATCAGTAACCCTCAACAGCTCAAGTAGAATCAGATCTGTCCACTCATATTGAGGTCTGGCTATTGGGAGAATTCAGCAGGTACACCTGTGAAGGGCTGAGAAGTTGGGGCTCCTGCTGGCACTAAGCGCCCGTTTCCAGAGGACCCCCACCCAGGTGTTTTTAGGCAAGTTGCTCTGAGGTCCTACAGTGACGACAAAAAATGTTGATGCAAAATGAACAAATCTTTTAGAATTTTTTTTTTTTTTAAGGAAGAGTTTTTTTGATTCAAGCCCAAGTTAGGACAGCTACCAAGGATACAGTCTTCACAAAGAGAGTAGTCTGGTAAGGGGACATTTGGTGTGGGGCTGTATACGTTTATTATATGAAGTTACGAACTATTAGACAAGGCGTTTCAGAAGGTTCTAGGGCTTATGTTACTTTTCCAGTATCTGCAGGGCTGTAGGACTCCTGACCCTTTGGTTCAGAAGACTCCTTTTTGGTTATTTTCATTAGGAAGCACATGCACAAAGTGTGCTGGGGTCGAAACGAGTCTCGTTGTGCGGTGTTGCAGTCATTCTAACCGGTGAAGGTCCTGAGAGCCCAGGAGCAGGGCGAACACAGGAAAACCGGAAGATTTCCTTCATCCCGGGAGGGGAAGGGGTCCGTGAAATCTCGGAGGAGGGTGCGCCCTCCCCCCGGAAGTAACCAGCCTGGGCAAAGGCCCAAAGGATGGGGTGAAAATGGCTTTCCGCTGGGTTTGCGGCACGACCCTTACGGTCGCCCTAAAAGAGGAAGAGCGGGCGTTTACCACTGCGTCTGAGGGTGGACTCCTGTGTCCTGGGAGGTGCCTGGGGATAGTGTCGGCTTCCTGCTCCGGAGCCGCTGGGTTGTGGGGTGGGGGTGGGGGTGCTGGGGTGGGGGTGCTGGGCAGGCCCCGCGCCGCCAGCCGTGAGGACGCCGACGCGCTCCTTCTGGTGTCTGCGCCACGGTGGAAAGGCCGAAGGCGGGCGAGCGCGCGGGGCCCCCGCCTCACCAAAGGAAGCTCGTTCGCAGGGGAGGTGAGGAGTGGGGTGGGGTCGGGAGCCGGAAGGCAGAGCCAGGCTCGTCTCCCACGGAAGTCGCGGGGTGGGGGTGGGGGGAGGTGGCGGGTCCTTAGCCCTCAAGGGGCCGCCAGCGGGGAGGCCAAAGCGCCAAAACAGCCTGCGCCGAAGAGGGTCCGCTTGCTCGCTGGCGCGCCCCGGCGTCCCAGGGTGCTCTGGCCAGGTGCATGCGGGCCTGGGTTCCGAAGTGACCGCGCGGCGCTGGGGGCCGGGTGGGGTGGAGGTGTGGGACCCAGGAATTTTAGCAAAAATCCCCTACCCCAGGACGAGCAGAGCAGGACTGATTCCATTTTGTGCTACACCTGCCACCTCCCCTATGACCCCCACTTGACCTGCTTATGGCTTGAGGCGCTGCCCCACCCTAGTCAAGCCGCTGGGCACACCCTCATCGGAAATCGGCTCCTAACAATGTAACCCTGCTTTGTGCCCGCCAAAACTGCGCGCCGATTCTGACCGCAGTACTAGGCCAGCTCAAGTGGATACTAGAGGCTAAGGTGTAATTCAATCGGCCACCTGCGTGTGGACCGACATGACTGTGCAACTTTCTGCGTATCCCATGGGCCAGTGGCCCCTAGAAAGCTGCTTCGCCTCTTAGTCTCGGGGCCCAAGTCTCTGCTCCGCTGTGTCGGGTGCACTTGGACCCAAGCCCGAGCTTGTCAATAAACCCTCGTGTGCCTGCATCGGTGTCGGCTCCTCGGTGGTTTCTCGGATTCGCAATCTTGGGCACAACAGAGGAACCCCGGGAAGGTGAGCACCCGCATCTCGGGCATGGTCACGCCACCACGCCACCACTGCAGCGGGTGTCCCTGAGCCCATTTCCAGGAGAAGAGGGGAGCTTCCTGAGGCGGCCGGGCCGCGCCCCTGTAGAACGGGCGTTGAGGTCGTGCCCCGTGTCGGTGGAGGCTTGTGGGGTGGGGGGTGGGGGGCGGTACTGGACGGGATTGGGATTCCCCTCCGCTCCCTAGGGGTACGTGCGTGCCCCCCCCCCCCCCGCAGTCGTTCTTCTGAAGCCCAACCGGGCACGCTATTTGCACCTGTGACTGGCTGGCGGGGCGCAGCACCCTAACCGCTCTCGCAGGTGCTTTCGCAGAGACACCTCATTATCGTGCTTCTCCGTGAAGGGCGTTGTCGCTCGCCTTGTGTTCTTCGCTGTGCACAAGCCCTTGACTTCCGTGGAGTCCCAGTGGTTTGTTTTTGTCTCCCCTGCCTCCAGCGGTACCCAGAAATACTTTGCTAGGGGTGTCAGAGACATTACTGCTTGTGCTCTCCTCCAGGACTTTAAGTCCTTCATTTATTTTGGTTTTCTTTTTGCCTGTGGTCGACAGGGTAGTCAGGATTCATTCCTTTACGTGTGCCGTCCAGTTCTCCCAACACCATTTGTGAAGAGACCTTTTACCACTAGATAGTCTTGCCTCCTTTGTCAAACTTCAAGTGACCATATAACTGTGAGCTTATTTTCTGGCATCTCTATTCCTGTCCTAGTGACTTGTGTATTTTTGTGCCAGTACCATACTAGTTTAATTACTAGTTATGAAGTAGAGTTTGAAATCTGAGATTGTGACCTCCAGGTTTGTTCTTTTTCAAGATTGCTTTAGCTATTCGGGAACTTCTGTGCTTCCACACAAATTTCAGGATAATTTGTTCTAGTTCTGTGAAAAAGACTGTTGGTGTTTTCATAGCGGTTGCATTATTTTTTTCTTAAGACTGTATTTGAGGGAGAGAGTGAGGTGGGAGGAGGAGCAAAGGGAGAGGGAGAAGCAGGCTCCTGGTTGAACAGGGAGCCTGGTGTCAGAAAGTCAGAAAGCTGGGATCATGTCCTGAGCAAAGGCGGGCCCTTAACCGATTGAGCCACCCAGGCACCCCAATAGGAGCTACATTAAATCGGTACATCGTATTCATTTTAAAAGTAATTGTTCTCCCATTCCACCAGCATGGAATGTGTTTGGTTGTGTCATCATCAGTTTCTTTCACCAGCGTTTTAGTTTTCACAGTATAGGACTCACACCTCCTTGATTGTTACTAGGTATATATTTTTGATTCAGTTGTATGTAAATGGGACAGTTTTCTTAATTTCTCTTTGCTACTTCATTATAGAAATACAGCGGTTTCTGTGTATTGATTTTTACTTTCTTGTATTGATTTTCCTGAATTATCAGTTCTCATGGTTTTCTGGTTTCTCATGGTGTCTTTAGAGTTTTCTCTATGTAGTGTCATGTCATCTGCAAATACTGCAAGTTTCCTTCTTCCTTACTAGTTTCAGTGCTTTTATTTCGTTTTCTGTGCTGATTGCTGAGGCTAGGATTTCTAGTACTATGTTGAATAAAAGTGGTGAGAGTGGACATCATTGTCTTGTTCCTGATCTGAGGAGAAAAGCTTGTTTTTTGCTAGTGAGTGTGATGTTGGCTGTGGATTTTTCATATTAGGCCTTAATTATGTTGAGATATGTTCCTTCTAGATCTGTTTTGCAGAGGGTTTTATCATGAATGGGTGTTGTACTTTGTCAGATGCTTTTTCTGCATCTACTGAAATTATCATATGGCTTTTATCCTTTCTTATTGATATGAGAGATCACATTGTTTTGTGAATATTGAACCACCTTGCATCCAGGGACTTAATCCACTTGATAGTAGTTATGATTTTTTTGATATATTATTTCAGTTTGCTAATATTTCACTGAGGATTTTTCCATCTGTATTCATCACAACCTATTTATCCTACACAAAGGGAGCTTACTAGGACTTCCCTCTCCTACTGAGTTCCCATGAGATATGCCCCAAGATCTTGTGAGATTTGGGCTGAAATCTTGTGAGATTTGCCCCAAGATTAAGTGAGATCTGGCAATGGAAAGAGATGGCTTGTTTTTGGGGGTGTGAATCACAGACTGCCCTGAAGTCGACAGCCTGGGAGAGCACTCAGGCAGCCTGCCTGTGTTCTCAAATGCGCCAGCTCTCATGCACGTTGTTCTATCCTACACCTACTGCCCTCCGGTTTCTGTCACCTACTTTAGTGTGACTAAGGGGCCACAAAGCCCATTCGTCCCTATTTCTGTGCTGTAGCCTGCAGGTTTTTTTTTTTTTTTTTTTTGTGGTGTCTTTATCTGGTTTTGGTATCACAGAATGATTTGCAAGTTTTCCTTGAGAAAAATAGGTATTAACTCTTCTTTAAATGTTTCATAGAATTCCCCTGAATCCATCTGGTCTCAGACTTTGTTGGGAGATTTTTGATTACCGATTCAATTTCTTTGCTGGTTATAGGTCTGTTCAGGTTTTCTATTTCTTCCTGATTCAGTTTTGGTAGTTAATATGTTTCTAGGAATTTACCTATTTCTTCTAGGCTGTTCAGTTTGTTAGCATACAGGTTTTTCTCCCTGGGCTTTATGTCAGCTTCACCCTACTGCTGACTTTTCCTTTCTTCTCCTGCTGATGCCACTGTTACCCGATTTACTTCCTATTTCCTCAGTTTTCTTTATTCTTAGCTGCTTCTGCCAACTCCCACAGTCCCAACAAGATACACCTTTCATTTCAGTATTCAGAGGCACTACTTTACTTCCAAATTCTCCTTTATAGTACTCTTCTTCAGCATCCCTGCCTGGCCCTTCTCTCCTACACACTATCTGATCCAGTTTTATACCAATGCTGAGGTCTTTAGCCTCCTATCACCTCAGGGTTTTTTTAGATCATCCTTATGTCATGGACTCTGCCTCAATTTTTAACTGTAGATTCAGCCACCATTCTATGGTTACTATGACAGTGCATGCATTAAAAAAAAAAATCTCCACAAAAAAATTAGAAGCACAATTTCATTCTATGCACAAGTTAATCAATTCAGCGAATGACTTCCCACATCTTGCACCAAAAATTAGTCATAGAAAAAGGTAGCACTCAAGTTCAACATTGTAATTTTAAATTTTTTATTTATGTATGATAGTCACACAGAGAGAGAGAGGGGCAGAGACACAGGCAGAGGGAGAAGCAGGCTCCATGCACCGGGAGCCCGACGTGGGACTCGATCCCGGGTCTCCAGGATCGCGCCCTGGGCCAAAGGCAGGCGCCAAACCGCTGTGCCACCCAGGGATCCCAACATTGTAATTTTAAAAAATTTTTTTAGTTCCTTGTTATAATAGTCTTTGAAACTCTATATAGATGTTTGACTTTTGAAAATATAAATTACTTAATTTCATCACATACACCAGGTTTGCTTTGGAAGGGTAAAGTCTGATTTGTACCTGTAATTTGTCTTAATATTGGCACCATGTTCATTTTATCTGCCTTAATCTGATGGATTAGCATTGTGCTCCAAGTAGAAATGTGCAACATATTTCCGAAAATCCAGGAGGTCTAGAGAAGTACCTGGGTTACAGGTTCTGTGTAGCTGCCATGCATTGTTCATGGCTACATCAATTATGTAGCTCACCAAAACTGAGTACCATTTCTTGTTTCTTACTCTTACCCTGTATTTGGAAATGATTTGATCCATTTTAGATACACCTTCCCTGCATTCACCATACAATTTCACTATAGATGGTTGAGCTATCTGATGGATCTCTTCCTCATCAGAACAGTTTAGCTCACTGGCTGGTTCTATGCCCACAGCATTGGAGCACAGACTTATAATGCCATCACCATGCCAGCGACACAAAATTACCTCCTCATTTTCTTCGACTCGGAAATCGAAATACCCCTTCTTCATTTTTCGCATATGTTCTACATTCATGAGGGGACATTTTTCAGTCCTATTTTCACGAATCGTTCCTGTGGCCCTCACTCCTTTCTTCTTCAAGGCTGATACCAATTTGACGCTTGTAAAGAAGCTATCAAAACACAGGTGATAGGGATATTGGCCTCTCTCTAAAAGAACATCAGCAAAATGCATCACTAGATTTCCACCTAAACCAAGATCAAGATCCTTATCCACCGTCACCATTGATTCTTCTTGATAGGGCTCAAACCACACCAGATAACCCTGTGTGGTTGTGCCACACCAAATTTTATAGCCAATTCTAATAGGTTTCCCATTCAGGAATTGGTCACTATCAAAACATTCACACATTGTCTTATCAAAATAATAATATTCTTCCAGGGGAGCATACAGGAGGAAATTTCTATTCATTTGCTTTATGAGAGGCCTCAATTTTGTAAACTTATCTTTTTGATCTAGGTGGCTATTATCTGCAAAATGTAGGTATGAGAAAATCAATTCAAATCTGTCCCTTCTAATTGCATCTCTAACCAGGTTCTGGTCAGCATCAGAGATTTCCCAATACATTCCCCTTCTGGGACGCCTCACAAATCCACTCAAAAGCAAGATACCAAACACACACCTTACTTCCTGAACTGTGACTTCCAAGTTTACATTTTTCTGAGATGCATAATTATTGGTTTCATTGACAATCAAGTTGAATACTTCATCATCAAAAAACAATTCAAAGAGTTCTACTGGGTTCAGCTTCTCATTCTTGAGATTCAAAAGTCCAGAATCTAGTGCTAACCAGCTTGGGAAGTTAGGTTTAATGTCTCTTTTGGTCCAATTCTTCTCTGGCACATTTGACAGCCTTAGCTTTTTTTGAGCATGGTAGGCCTCAAGCTTGTTATCTTCTTCCACATCTGAGTCACCAGAAAATGCAAGGCCTTGGAGCAGTTCACTCACTCGAGCTTTGTCCTTTTTTCTCCCTTTTCGCATCATGTCTCCTGCAGCATATTCCAAGGAGGAGATGTGCATTTGGGCCCACAAGTCACCCGGGTGACGGTCCTTCGGGGTGTTCAAATGTGCAACTGTCTTGTCGGTGTGGACAGAAGTACAACAAGGTGGCTGTGGCACACAATCTCTAGGAATGAAAAACAACAACATACTATAAAAATCCTCAGTCTTACTACAACATGAATCTGATGACACCTAAGTATTCTTGGGTGGAGATTAACCACTTCTCACTCCTAGGACTTTGGCCAGACCTAACACTTCTGGCCTCTCCCTACCTTGGTCTCACTGGTCAAGACCGTGAGTTGTTAGCCTGAAAGAAAGAACCGGGCATCTTAGTACAGTGCCTCCCTCCTCTTCAGGAGCAAGTGGCAGATATCCCATGTACCTTTTGGCCCCAGGTTCTATTGGGCAGGCCTGTGCAAGGGGAGGTCTGTTCTCTTTCTGCTCTAGAGCTCCTTTTCTAGCTGAGCTTCCATCAGTAATGAAGCCAAGGTTTCCACAATCATCTGTTTTACTCCTGTATCTCCATCGATTGGTTCTAAATTTGGACAAGGAAGAGGGTTGTTATTGACTGAGCTCCCTCACACCTCTCTCAGAATTTCTGAACATGGAAAGATTTAGCCTCTCCTAGCTCTACAATGATCTGGAGGACAAACTTCTCTGGGGAGAAACTTAAGAGAAACTCAAACTTCCTGCTGTTGAACTGATTTTTATGGTGTTTACAAGGAAGGAAGATAAAGTTACCAAAGTGAAAAGTATTATACACAAGCTTCTCTCTTAACATGAGAAATTTGCATTTCACTTACTAAAGTCTCATTGGTAAATAGCCTAGTTGCAGAAGACATAAGGGGGAGAAAGCAGTGAAAAGAGAATGCTACAATTTATAGTACATGCATTTACTTATTTGCTTAAAGCATTTATAATCCTGGGTGTCTCCAGTGTGTGCATACAGCCCATTCAACAGTTCCCTAACGTTCTCAACTGCAGGGACCCTGTTCTGATGCCACCATCATGCTGAATCTTTTCAGTCTAGCCTGCTCATGCCTCTGCTCTCCCATCTCACAGACTCCTCCCTTCGTCCTGCTTCCACTGCCCTTCCTACTCCATTAACCGACCCCAAAACCCATCACCTGCCAGGATCATCAACCACCTGCCCCATTGTCCTTCTGTAGCATCATACTAGCCAAACTTCAGTACCTGGTAGAGCCCGTGGTTGGGTCTTCTCCAGTCCTCATGCCAGAGTGAGCGGCGCCACAGTACCCACACTACCGGGGAGACTGACACTGCTGAAAGTGCTGGTCTCCAAGATGCAGCTGGTCACTCACCCTGCCCAGGAGTCCTCCTTCCCCCTCACCTTTCCTCCCAGTTCCCCACATTTCACATCTTCATCATTCTTCTAAAAGCTTCAATCCCACAACTTCTTTTCCTACTCCAAAGAGAACCTAGAATTTCTCAGGCAGCAACATGCTTGTTGAAACAGTCTGCCTTCGATGGCTCCTATGATTCCTCTCCCAGCTCATCTCCAATCCTCTCCAGGCACAGGCATATTCACTTCTCTGCCTCTCTCCTTTCCACCTCCTCTGTCCAACAAACTCCCACCTCGTCTCCCTGAGTCTTGTTTTAGGTGTCACCTCCTTCACAGGTACTTCTTTCTGCTGCACTGCAGCACCATCCCCTCTGCTGTGCCCTCATGGCACCTACTGAGGGTGGGGTCATGGTAGCCATGGGATTCTGCATAAGAGAGAAAAAATACTTCCTGAATAGGTGGATGACAGGAAAAAAAGTATGAAAGCTGGAACTTAAAAAAATGTGCCTGGAAGTCTTTTCAACAAAACCCTCTCTTGGTCTCTTATCAGTTCATCACTGATTCTCCAAACCTGACTCTTGATCCATACTTCTGTCTAGTTCATCTTGGCCTGTGACACCCTGAGAAAGTTTCCCTAATCATCTTCTCAGTGAGGGTGGCAGACTCAGTGACTTTCCTGCCAACACTACTTGCTCTCCCTTTTAGCCAGTGAGAAGCCCAGTTCTACTGGTGGCAGCAGTGTGTCCAGATAAAAGCCATGAATTGGTCTAAGCCAGTCCCAAAATCCCATTCCCCTTTCTAGATACTCTGTTCCCCTAGCCTCTCTTATAGCCAGAGTTGTTCCTATGAGTCGGTTTTAGCCAGTGAGAAAGAGGGGAAGACTGCTGAGGCTTTCTGGGAAGACATCTGTTTTCTTGGTGCCAGGAACCAACACTGGTAGAGGTGCCCTTCTACCCCCTTTCTGCTGTAACAGATTTAGTACTTGGAGTTGAAGGGATCATCCTATGGTCATGGGTTGATAAACAAGTCCTGGTTCCTTGAATGAGAAAACTGAATAATAACAAATCCTGGTGAGTATGAACCTTTTTAAACTGATCTGCGAGTACAGATGGTACATTCTTTTCAGAAGCCAATTTAGCAGTACTGAGTTAAATTTAGTAAAAACACACCCTAAGGCCCAGCAGTTCTGTTCGTATGTATTAGTCCCAAAGAAATTTTCCCACAAGGGGTAGGTAGAGACTGCTCACAGTAGCAGTGTTCCTGCTGATGGGAGACCCAGAGGCAACAGTGTGACCACCTATGGGGAAGCTGATGGGCAGGCCATGAGAGATGAGCCCGCAGATATGATGTAGCAGCTCTGAGTAAAGGGATAAATGTTTACTCAGAAATACAGATAGGGGGATCCCTGGGTGGCGCAGCGGTTTGGCGCCTGCCTTTGGCCCAGGGCGCGATCCTGGAGACCCGGGATCGAATCCCACATCGGGCTCCCGGTGCATGGAGCCTGCTTCTCCCTCTGCCTGTGTCTCTGCCTCTCTCTCTTTCTCTCTCTGTGACTATCATAAATAAATAAAAATTAAAAAAAAAAAAAAGAAACTGTGGTGCAGCTCTGGTGGCCCAGCGGTTTAGCGCCACCTTCAGCCCAGGCCGTGATCCTGGAGATCAGGGATGGAGTCCCACGTCGCATGGAGCCTGCTTCTCCCTCTGCCTGTGTCTCTGCCTCTCTATCTGTGTCTGTCATGAATAAATAAATCTTAAAAAAAAAGAAAAGAAAGAAAAAAGAAACTGTGTGGCAAGGCTATGGCGGGGTGAAGACGGAGTCAGATTTCTGGTCACTAAGGTTAAATGTGCCTGACAGGCACACCACCAGATTCCTATTTTGCGGTTACAATTACCGTCACAAAATATTTCCTTTGGCTCAGACCCCAGGGCTTTGAGACATTTCCATTTTCACGAAGAATTTAGTCCTAATTCCCTGCCCTAAACATATGTCCCCTCTGCTACCCTGCAGTGTCAAGCTAATTATTTTATACTGTTTCCTTTCTCACCTCCAAAGACTTAAGGGCCTCACCCAAACCCACCCTCTGCCTGTAAGCAGGTTCCTCCCATTATGCTTTAGGAGGATCTGTGCTACATATCCATTCATTCATTCCCACAACCAACACTCAGTAAGTACCTATTACTATCTTTAATTTCTGCCTCATCAGCTACTTTCCTTTCAATTCTTGTTCAAGATTTTCTTATGCTATTTCTTTCTTGTTGCTATGACAGCCCTCACTCTCATCTAAATTCTCTGCCTTGGGGCAGCCCGGGGGGCTCAGCGATTTAGCACCCCCTTCAGCCCAAGGCCTAATCCTGGAGACCCGGGATTGAGTCCCACATCGGGCTCCCTGCATGGAGCCTGCTTCTCCCTCTGCCTGTGTCTGTGCCTCTCGTTCTCTCTCTGTGTCTCTCATGAATAAATAAATAAATAAAATATTTAAAAAAATAAAAATAAATTCTCTGCCTTTTCTGGTTTCTCTTATCTGTAGCTCCACAAAGATATAAGGATGCTCAGGGAAGGGTGACCACACAGGGTAAACAGAGTCAGAATAGGATTCTTGGAAGCAGCTGTACACCAACTGAAAGTTTTGTGCAATGAGGGTATTAGTAGTTCACCAAGGCATGGGTCCTCCTATGATTACAGAATTGAGAGCAGCACTCTTACTACATTATTCCAGAGAAGCAGCTTTGGTCCACCTGGTTTCTCTGGTTCCATTTCAATTTGTTCTTACAGCTGCAGGATTTAGTGATCAAAAATTCTTTCAGTTTCTGGTTGTTCTGTAAGCTTTTTTATCTCTCCTATTTTGAACAAGATCCTAGCTGGATAATGTATTCTTGGCTGGATATTTTTCTCATTTAGGAACTTGAATATATCATGCCAGTCCTTTCTGGCCTGCCAGGTATCTGGATAGGTCTGCTGCTAGTCTAATGTTTCTACCCTTTTAGGTTATAGACCTCTTGTCCCAAGCTGCCTTCAGGATTTTCTGTTTCCGGGATTTGTAAGTTTCACTATAATATGTCAGGGTGTTGACCTATTTTTATTGGTTTTGAGGGAGGGGTTCTCTTTGCCTCTTGGACTTGGATGCCTGTTTTCTTCCACCAGAATACAGGAGTTCTCTGCTTTAATTTGCTCTATAAGGTATACCTTCTGCCCCCCTCCTTTCCTTTTCTTCTGGGATCCCAATTATTCTAATATTGTTTTGCTTTATGGTACCACTTACCTTTCGAATTCTCCCCCCACTGATCAAGTAGTTGTTTATCTCTCTTTTTCTCAACTTCTTTATTCTCCATCATTTTGTCTTCTATATCACTAATTCTCTCTTCTGCCTCATTTGTCCTAGCAGTTAGAGCCTCCATTTTTTATTGCATCTCATTAAGAGCCTTTTTTATTTCAACTTGTTTAGATTTTAGTTCTTTTATTTCTACAGAAAGGGATTCTCTAGTGTCTTCTATGCTTGTTTCAAGCCCAGGTAGTATCTTTATAATCATTATTCTGAACTCTAGTTCTGACATTTTACTTATATCCATACTGATTAGGTCCCTCGCAGTCAGTACTACTTCCTATCCTCTCTCTTTTTTTAAAGACTTTATTTATCCATTCATGAGAGACACAGAGAGAGAGGCAGACACACAGGCAGAGGGAGAAGCTGGCTCCACACAAGGAGCCCGATGTGGGACTCGATCCCAGGACCCCAGGATCACACCCTAAGCCAAAGGTAGATGCCCAACTACTGAGCACCCAGGTGTCCCGTTCTCTTTTTTGAGTGAGTTTTTTTTTTAATTTTTATTTATTTATGATAGTCACACACAGAGAGAGAGAGAGAGAGAGAGAGAGAGAGAGGCAGAGACACAGGCAGAGAGAGAAGCAGGCTCCATGCACCGGGAGCCCGATGTGGGATTCGATCCGGGGTCTCCAGGATCGCGCCCTGGGCCAAAGGCAGGCACCAAACCACTGCGCCACCCAGGGATCCCTTTTGAGTGAGTTTTTGTTTTGTCATGCTACCCAGAAGAATAGATGGACAAGGGAACAAAATACTAAAATGTCAACAACCACCCCAGAGAAATATACACTAATCAGAAGAGACCCAAAACCAAAGAGAGAGAGAGAGAGAGAGAGAGAGAGAGAGAGAGACTGACTATAATTAAACAGGTGAACAGACCAATACACTGGATCCTGTGTGTATTTTGACCCATTTGTTAGAAAACTTAGTCCCAAAATTGTAACAAAAGAAAAACTTAGTGTATTTCAATTTTTTGTGGATAAAAGGATAGAAAGGATAGAATGTATCTAAAAGGATAGAATGTAACTGCAAAAATGAAAATTAATTTTTTTAAAAAAAGGACTACAAACAGAAAGGTGAACAGAACACACCAATACACTATATCCTGAGTGTATTTTGGTCTATTACTAAAAACTACATCTCAAAATTGTATGGAAAGAAAAATACATATATATGCAAACACTAAATATATTGAATAGACAGAATGTAACTGTAGAGATGAAAATTTAAAAAAAGGCTTTAACAGAAAAAAAAAATAATATGATCAGACAAGTGAGGAGAACAGAGCCATACACTAGATTCTGGGTGTATTTTGATCTGTTAGAAGAAACTGCATCCCAAAGTTGTAAAAAAAAAAAAAAAAAAAAAAAGACAGACATATATAGAAGATAAAATTAAATATAATGAAAGAGTAGAATATAACAGTAAAAATGAAAATTAAAAAAGATTTAGAAAAAAGTTGATAAAATAAGAATTTGTTTGAAAAAGAAAGAGAAAAAAAGATTAATATTAAAAAACTAAAGAATCATGGGGGGAGGCGGAGGGACCCAAACCATGATTTCTATATGCTGTGTTCCCCTAGCACTGGAGTTTTGCAGTTCTCAATGCTTGGTAGTCTTGGACTTAGCTGCATGATCTTACTGATCTTCTGGGAGAGGGGCCTTTTGTGTTGATTGTCAAGTGTCTTTGTCCTGGGGCAGAGCTGCACCACCCTCACCAGGGGGCTAGGCTAAGTAATTTCCAGATTGCTCAATGTGGCTTTTGCTCCCTTGAAGGCTTTCCGTGCCACTCTAGAAGATGAGAGTGAAAATGGTAGCCTCCCAATTTCCAGCCTCAGAGCTGAAAGCTCAGGGCCCTACTCCTCAGTTGCACCCTCAGGGAAAAGCAGTCAATCACTCTGTCTCCCTGGTCTCTGTCCACATTCTGTGCTCACCCAGCCTGTGACTGAATGTCTTTATCTCAGACACGAGACCCCCATTTCGAGTCCCCTAACCCTGCAGACTCTTGTGGCCCACTCCCACACCACTCCTCCCTGAGAAGGGGGGGTCTCAGGTTCTGCCGCTCGCTGGGGCCCTGACTGGAGAGCAGTCACGCCGACTGTGCCCCAGTTCATGGTTTATGGCCACCCTGAGCTGGGAGCCCGCTCCCAGACCTGCTGATTGCAGCCAGCTTCCCCTCTTCTAAATCCTGGGAATTCTGTCACACTCAGGCACCCCCGAGCTTCCTGTGGCCCTGAGGATCCTGAGACCACACTGCCTACCTAGGATTCTGCCCTGTTTTATCACATGAGTGCCTTTCATCCCTCCACATTCCCTGAACCCTTCACCTAAGCAGACTTCTAAAAGTTCTTATTTTGTGCTGCACTGTTCTGTCACTTTCTGGTAGCTGGAGGCTGGAGGCTCCCACCTCCCATGGTCTAGCTTCCCATATATCACCTTGGATTCATTTCTCTGCACTTCCTACCTTGCAGAAAGTGGTTGCTTTTCCATTTGTAGAGTTGCAGCTATTTTTTCAGATCTCTAGTTGAGTTTGCCGGTGTTCAGAACGATTTGATAGCTGTCTAACTGAATTCCTGGGATCAGATGAAACTAAGGTCTCCTACTCCTCTGCCATCTTGGACTCCTCCCAGCTGCAGGATTTGTTTACGTACAAGCATGGACACTCACCTGCTGGGTATTCCTGAGGCCTCAGCACTGTGCTGCAGTTCTTCAGAAGTTTCTTGCTTTGCATTAAATAATGCATCTTTAGTTACAACTTCTTCAGCTAAAATGATACAATAATTTAAATGTTATTTGTTGCCTGAATTGAGAAAGAAGAAAAAAAATCTCCAGAGTAGGGAGGGAATACGATTTTTTTCAGTGAGCTCTATGCCCAATATGGGGTTCAAATTGACAAGATTCTGAGATCGAGTTGTATGCTCTACTGACTGAGCCAGCCAGGTGATTTAATAGGGGAATAGGATTTTCAAATTAAAATAATCATCAGGTGTCTCAGGAGTGCTGTCACAACAGTCCTACAAAATGTGGTATAGTATGGGAAGATAATAAAGGTCAGTGAGCTGGGGAGAAGGTCTAACAAGGCAAAGCATATTTAACGAAAATTATACATGGATAATAATTTTCTCAGAGCGTGGGGAGAACTTCATCTGAGATAAAAAGTGTGTGGGTCTTCCAGACATGAAGAGATGTCTGAACATGACAATTACATGGAAGCTTTTACAGGGAAGAAGATGGGAAGCAAAGGAGTGGTGAGGGGTTCAGGGAATATGGAGGGATGATCAGAGAAGATAACAAGAATCACTAAGCTGAGTGATCTGTGACCAGGAGGGATGTGAAAAGGTAAGGGCTGAGAGAAGTCAGCAGGCAGAGGGCAGAGAAGGGGAGGGAGGGCAACAATGGTGGATAGGGAATGTTGCCTCACAAGGGCCACATCAGAGTTGATGATGGGAAAAGGTGCTCATACACAAGGGACCTGCCAGAGGCCGTCCTCACCCACTGGACTGGTGTTTGTAACCTTCTCTTGAGCTGAGTTTCCACAGGGGCTCCTGTGAGCCAGACTCCAAGGCGGCCGTTCCTCTGTGACAAGGGCCTGGATGGCTTCTTCCTCCATCTTCAATGATGTCTGAAAAGGCAAAAAGAGGCTCTTAGTCTTCACTGTGGTAAGGATGGGGGCTCTGGTTGAAGGGTATGGACTACCCCGCCTTCAGTAAAGCAGTGGTACCAGCCCTTTGGCATGGCCTTGCTCTGTCTAGAGGTCTTTGGGAGGATCATCCTCACCGTTCTCCTGGCTGGTGGTGGTTGGCAAGGATCAGTGTTCTCTGGCTTGTAGATGTGTCACTTCAATCTCTCCCTCTGCCTTCACACAGCCTTCTCATAAGACACCACTTACCAGATCTGGGGCCCACGCAGATCCAGGATAATCTCACCTTCATTACATCTACAGAGTTTCTTTCAAAATAAGATTGCATTCACAGGTACCTGGAATGTTAGGGCCTCAATATATCTTTCAGGGGGACACAGTTCAAACCACATCATCAACTATATTGTTCTAAAAACACGTACAGGTAACTTTTATTCTCTGTACAACTATTTTCATAAAGATAAAATATTTGTGAAAAATAGAAAGCACTAGGTCTGACAGAATTAAGAACAAATTAGAAGCCAGAAAAAAACACCAAGTAATGAGAGGACTCCACAAGGACCATGTTTTGAGGAAAACTGATTTAGAAACACAGGACTTAATTAAAGATTCAATTATTTTTTTAACTAAATGACTAGGAAAATGACTAAACCACTGAGAAATTGAGGGGGAAAACAAAATCCATTTGTGGTGATGTCAAGTTTTGCCCTGGATACAAAGAATTAACATTACCATCATAAATGTCAGGTCTGTGCAAGAACACTAAGAAAATAAAGCAAGAATCTGGGAGGTCAGGCTCGGGAGACAAAGCAGAGGCCCTCAAAGAGAAAACATGAGGCACTAAGCCTCAAATGAGTGGAGGTACTTTCTGAAAAGAAGGGTCTAACTGCCCCTTCCCTGTCCTACTTAAGATGTGGATGTGCCTCTTAAGCTTGGCCCACAATGAGGCAACAGCATGTCATCCACACGAGCCCCTTGCATGAGGCATCCTTGATCTGACACCTGTTACAAGGTGAAGGTAGAGGGGCAGAGGTGCCTAAAAAGCTCCCACAGGTGAGAAGGGCAAGGAGGAGGTGGCCAGAAGGAGGGCTGCTACCTGCCACATTCCCATGAGCTGGGCACCTTGCTCTCCTGGGACCCAGCTGAGTCCTTGCCTCTAGCTGGTCCCTAGGGGAGCAGGCCTTGTGGGGGCACAGCCTGCATAGCCTCTGATGTATATGAAACAGGTCAGAACCAAGGCATGCCTCTGACTGACATGGGACACCACAACTGTCCCCATTCTGTCAGGAATCCTACAGTTCTAAAACTTTAGGGTCTATTCACAACTATTCACAAACTCGACTATTCACAAACTCTTCAAGTGCTTTACGGTGATGCACTTTCACATACAGCAAATTTTAAAGTCATAGATGAAAATAAGGAGGAGAAAGAAGCTTGTGCTATAGGAAAACTTAAGCAAAGAGTAGAGCTACTCAACAAAGGGGAGACAGGAAAAAAGAAACGAAACAGGAGTTGACAGAGGAGGTGGCTGTGTGTGGATGAGTGCAGGGTGCTTTCTGGGAAATGAAGACACACACACCCACACACACACCCATACACACACAAACAAAAAGAAGCAACCTGAAGTGGAAATGCTGGGAATCTATCATGTTGGAAGCTGCTGATTCCAAAAGGACCCACAATAATCGAAACAGGAACAATGACTGCACAGTGCATGCAACTCTTGATCTCAGAAGTTGTCAGTTTGAGCCCCATACTTGGGCGTAGAGCTCAATGAAAAAAATCCTATTCCCTCCCCACTCTGGAGATTTTTTTTCTTCTTTTCTCAATTCAGGCAACAAATGACAAAAAGTCTGCTTAGGTGAAGGGTTCAGGGAATGTGGAGGGATGAAAGGCACTCATGTGATAAAACAGGGCAGAATCCTAGGTAGGCAGTGTGGTCTCAGGATCCTCAGGGCCACAGGAAGCTCGGGGGTGCCTGAGTGTGACAGAATTCCCAGGATTTAGAAGAGGGGAAGCTGGCTGCAATCAGCAGGTCTGGGAGCGGGCTCCCAGCTCAGGGTGGCCATAAACCATGAACTGGGGCACAGTCGGCGTGACTGCTCTCCAGTCAGGGCCCCAGCGAGCGGCAGAACCTGAGACCCCCCCTTCTCAGGGAGGAGTGGTGTGGGAGTGGGCCACAAGAGTCTGCAGGGTTAGGGGACTCGAAATGGGGGTCTCGTGTCTGAGATAAAGACATTCAGTCACAGGCTGGGTGAGCACAGAATGTGGACAGAGACCAGGGAGACAGAGTGATTGACTGCTTTTCCCTGAGGGTGCAACTGAGGAGTAGGGCCCTGAGCTTTCAGCTCTGAGGCTGGAAATTGGGAGGCTACCATTTTCACTCTCATCTTCTAGAGTGGCACGGAAAGCCTTCAAGGGAGCAAAAGCCACATTGAGCAATCTGGAAATTACTTAGCCTAGCCCCCTGGTGAGGGTGGTGCAGCTCTGCCCCAGGACAAAGACACTTGACAATCAACACAAAAGGCCCCTCTCCCAGAAGATCAGTAAGATCATGCAGCTAAGTCCAAGACTACCAAGCATTGAGAACTGCAAAACTCCAGTGCTAGGGGAACACAGCATATAGAAATCATGGTTTGGGTCCCTCCGCCTCCCCCCATGATTCTTTAGTTTTTTAATATTAATCTTTTTTTCTCTTTCTTTTTCAAACAAATTCTTATTTTATCAACTTTTTTCTGGACAGATCATCCAAATAGAAAATCAACAAGGAAACAATAACTTTGAATGTCACACTAGATCAGATGGATCTAACAGATATTCAAAATATTTCATACTGGAATGCCTGGGTGGCTCAGCGGTTGGGCGTCTGCCTTCAGCTCAGGGCATGATCCTGGAGTGCCAGGATGGAGTTCCACATCAGGCTCCCTGCATGGAGCCTGCTTTTCCCTCTGCCCATGTCTCTGCCTCTCTCTCTCTCTCTCTCTCTCTCTCTCTCTCTCTCTCTCATGAATAAATAAATAAAATATATTTTAAAAATTCATACTAAAACAGCAGAATACACATTCTTTTCAAGTGCACACAAAACATTGTCCAGAATGAATAACTTTTTGGGCCACAAAACAAGTCTTACAAATTCAAAAGACTAAAGCCACTGTCATTTCAATAAATGCAGAAAAAATATTTGACAAAGTAAAACATTCATTCATGATACAAACCCCCAACAAAGAAGGTTTATAAAGAGGGAACATACCTCAACCTAATGCTGTATACAAAAAAAAATCAAAGCCAACATCATACTCCGTGATGAAAACCTGAGAGATTTTCCCCTAAGATCAGGAAAAAGACAAGAATTTCTACTCTCACCACTTGTATTCAAAAGAGTTGTAGAAATACAAGCCACAGCAATCAGGACAGAAAATAAAAGGTATCTAAACTCACTATTTGCAGATGACATCACACTATACAGAGTCTAAAGACTGCCAGAAACCTATGAGAACTGATAAATGAATTCAGTAAAGCCGCTACAGATGCCTGGGTGGCTCAGTGGTTGAGCATCTGCGTTTGGCTCACAGGGTGATCCTGGATTCCTGGGATCAGAGTCCCACATGGGGCTCTTGCATGGAGCCTGCTTCTCCTTCCTCTGCCTGTGTTGTGTCTCTGTCTCTTTCTGCGTCTCTCATGAATAAATAAAATCTTTAAAAAAAATAAAAATAAAGCCACAGGATACAAAATCCGTAAACAAAAATCCACTGCATTTCTATACATGCACTTACAACAAAGCAGCAAAAAGAGAAATTAAGAAAACAGTCCCATTTTACAACTACATCAAAAATAATGAAATACCTGGGAACAAACTTAACAAAGGAACTGAAAGACCTGTACTCGGAAAATTATAAAACATGAGGGAAAGAAATTGACAATGACACAATCAGAAAGATACTCATCTTCCTCATGTAGTGGGAGAAGATTATTATTAAAATATCCCTACTATGCAAAGAAACCTACAGATTTAATGTAATCCCTATCAAAACACCAACAGTATTTTTCACAGAACGAGAATAATCCTAAAATTTGTATGGTACAACAAAGGTTCCCAAATAGCCAAAGCAATCTTCAAGAACAACAACAAAACTGAAGGTGTGACAATCTCAGATTTCAAGCTACACTCGGTAACTGTAGTAATTAAAACAGTATGGTATGGGCACAAAAATAATAGACACATAGATCATTAGAACAGACTAGAGATCCCAGAAATAAACCCACGATCATATGGTCAATTAATCTTCAACAAAGTAGGAAGAACATGCAATAGGAAAAAGACAGTCTCCCCACAAATGGTGTTGGGAAAACTGTACAGCCACATGGAAAAGAACAAAACTTCAACACTTTCTTATGCCATACAGAAAAATCAACTCCAAATGGATTAGAAACGTTAATGTGAGACCTGACAGCATAAAAATCCTAGATAAGAGAACAGGCAGTAATTTCACTGATATCCATCCATACCATTTTTCTAGATGTGTCTCCTGAGGCAAGGTCCAAAGGCAAAAATAAACTAAAATAAAAAAAATAAAAATAAAAAAAGCTTCTGCACAGCAAAGGAAACAATCAACAAGGTTAAAAGAAAACCTACTGGGGGCGACTGAGTGGCTCAGTAGGTTAAGTGTCTGCCTTTGACTCAGGACATAATCCGGGGGTCCTGGGATCGAGCCCCACATGGGGCTCCTGCACAGCGGGGAGTCTGCTTCTCCCCCTCCCTCTGCCCTTTCCCCTGCCGGTGCTATCTCTCTCTAATAAATAAAATCTTAAAAAAAAAAAAAAAGACAACTCTAAAGAACAAACTGGTGGTTACAGAGAGGAGGTAGGTGGGGGGATGGGTGAAACAGGTGAAGGGAATTAGGAGTACACTTATCATAATGAACACTGAGTAATATACAGAATCACTATATTGGACCCATGAAACTAATATAACATTGCACGTT